AGTAGGTCATGTCGTACAAGGATTGCCAGCTGCTTCGCCGAGCCCAGGCTCACCCGGTTCCGTAAGTTGGACCTCCAGCTGCCACACGTGGCTTATGAGCACCCAACCGAAGATGCAGGTGCGTTTCAGCACCACACCGTCAGGCTCTTCGTTGGCTGACCCCGCACAGTGGGTGGATCAGCCTCCTACATTCTTGGTTGGCAGCTTTCATATTAGCCAGTGATGTGGGCTGACATGCTTGTATAGCCGGAACCTCTGAGCAATCACTTACACTGGGATGGGATGGTTTGATGCTCCTCTGGAACGATCATTGCAACACTCCGATGCATGCAATTTGCATCTGCGTGTCTAGACTGCTGCACGAACTTGAAAGGCAGCCCTTAGTCCAACAGGGCCTGAGCGGCCCTGCGCACGCACACACACTCACGACCTACCCAGAGCAGGCAGGTGCAATGTTGCTGTTCATGGCCCACAGAATCCCTTCACACACGGGCAACAAAAGCCATGATGGCAGCAACAAGAACAACGGAGTTGGCTGGCGGCGTGTTCAGGCGACATTCCTGTATTTATGGAAGCTAAGGGTTTTCTGGGAGCGATGATTAGGACCACAGTCCCTATGAAGTCCATGTAAAGACAAACAATTTCTCTCTATAGGGCCCATAAATCTATCCCAGCCTAAGTGTCTCTGGCTACGTCTCAAGCCAGGCTTCTTCACCAACTTCCCACAAGACGTAGGTTAGGGTTTAGTGTTTATGTGTGGAGTTTAGGGTTCAGGGTTGTTTTGTTTTGCGTATAAGGCTGCGGGGGGTGGGCAGGTGCCGGGGGAAACAAAATGTGGCCCACAAAGTCACCAGCTGAGTGGCACCCTGCCAAGACATCCGTATATTAATACTCTATCACAATATCATATTCTTATGCTATTCTAGCATTCTGTTGTTCATCTGGTATGTCATCACATTGTTGTTGCTTGTCTTGTATGGCCATCAGTATATCACTACGTATTGGTACATTGCTATTCCGATTGCCTAGGTTTCCTCTCGGATGACGAAGTGGATGAGTGCACTCCGCCAGTGCCGGGAACCCAGCGGAGAGGGAGGCCTGTAAGGACGATCTACAGGGTATAGGGTTTAGGGTTGAGGTTATAGGGTGTAGGGTTTAGGGTTCAGGGTTCAGCGAGTAGGATGTAGGGTTTAGGGTTAAATGTGTAGGATGTACGTGAAGGTTCATGGCAGTTGGTAGGTAGTTATAATTGGTTTTATTATGACCCTACTTATGCTTGGGGGTGTAACCTGCGCCCTGAAGCAAGAGTTTCCTTTCGTGCACCCTCGAAAAAAGTACACTCTAAGCTCCAGACCCTAGGCCTTGAGCCCTAACCCACAGCCTCAAACCTTAACTACAAACCCGAAGGCCTTGAGCGCAGAGCCCCAAACTCTAAACCTCGACTCCAAGCCCTTGACCCTAATCCCAAAACCCTCAAAACATTAAAACCCTAAACCCCCTAAGCCCTAAACCTTAAACCCTAAAATCTTCGAACCCTGAAACCCTAAACCTTAAAACCCTAAACCCTAAAACCCTAAACCACAATTTGCCAGGCCAACCCCAAGTCCCAGCTCTGGCCGCCGGCTGAAGCCGACGAAAGGGACGCCCGCCCACAGAGTTGGGTTCAAGGGCTGAGGGGTTTAGGGCCTTTAGGGTTGGGGTTTAGGGCCTTTAAGGTCTCGGGTTTAGGATGTATGGCTTAGGGGTTTATAGTTTAGGGCTGAGGGCTCTGCTGTGAGCTACCCTAAGCCCTAAAGCTGAGATTTCCGAACTTTTTGCTTCAACTCCTCTCACCCCAGCAAGATCAGGCCCAGTCCGCCTTGAGCTCTTCAATGCGCCTTCTGGGAACCCTAAACCCGAAGCCCTAAACCCTAAAAGAGCAACCTCAACCATAACCCCTAAAACCTTTTAAAAAACTAAACCCTACCGCCAACACCTTCTAGAAAACTAAACACTGACCCCTAAACCCTCAGCCCTAATGCCTGTCCCTGTCGCGCGTTAACGCATGGAGATCCTCCTGGATCCCTCTTTTTCAAGGAGTGCAGGACTGCCTCCAACAAACTTTTCAAGATGATGACCTGCTCATGGACTCCCGGCGCTGAGGGTCCGTGAGCCGGAGCCAGCCTACCCCTAAACCCAGACCCTAAACTACTACACCCCTAAACCCCAAAATCCCTAAACCCTAAACTCTAAGCTCTAAGCTCACAAAGGGGTTCCTGGCTTCAGGCAGTGGAGTTTCGGTTCAGTGAAGCATAAGTTCAGGCACTGAAAGAACGGCGCAGAGCGCATAAGAGGGAGTTCTGGCCCTATTGGAACGCCAATCCCAGACTCCCTAAAGGATCCAAAAAATCAGCTCCCCAAAATGACCCCACTACTACATTGGGGAAGCTAGGGGATTGTTGAGAGGTTCCATGTTTTGGATCCTTTAGGGGCTCTGGGATGATATGCGCAGCAAAAGAAAGAACATGCGGTTCTAGTATTAGTAGTAGCTGTAGTCTTCTTAGGAACTGCGTTTCATTGCATTATCGTGTAAGTCGAAGGAGGTTTTTCCAAATGCCAATTTTCTTATAGGCCTAGGGGAATTAGAGGTAGATCTCCAATGTGACGCGATCAGGGCCAGGCCATCGAGCCAGCCTGGGAAGATTTAGATAATGTTATATATGTTATGGTCACAGGTTCCTTATGTACATACCTGTGACTTTGAACATAGACATCAACTGATATTGGTGAGTATTCCGGCCCTATGGTACTCATCCGGCTACACAGCTACAGTTTCCTTTTAATGTTATAAGACATAGTATAGGCTTCTACTCAAGGGGCGGGGGTTTTCGTAGGGTTCTTTTTACGGCTCCACATTAGTTTTGCAGCAGGGTAGGCTCGGCCACGCCTCGTTCTGGTGGCAGGTCCAGAAAATTCCTAAACCTAAAACCCTAAAAATTCAACCAGTCTGGCCTTGAATCTCCATGCCAGATCTGGCGCCGTCGACGCTCAGCGTTTCGGGAGTTCTAAAGTCCTTGAGGAGTCCACTACACAGAAATGCTATTCCCTCACTTTGCCTGCAGCCCGAGAAGTGGATCTGATTCGTTTTGCAAGCTTGGTTTTCTGTTCCGTTTGAGGACTCCGTAGCCCTGTAGCTGCACATGGGATTTCTCGAAGCCATCCTTAAAGATTTTTGAGAGGGACACCTAGCCTGCCCTCATAATTTCCATGTGTCTCAACGGTTCAACGGTTTGTTAGGTAACCCCGTTTTGGAGACATCCCTACATAAAGTGCCCCCTAGGGTCTCCAACTTTGCGAAATCTCCGACGTCTCATTTCGAGAGGTGCTTTGCCGGGACTGACAAATGTCAGCACCTGAAGTTTCTGCATGGCGGCAGAGGATACAAAACCACTATGTGCATGGATCCCTAGGCCCTAAGCCTTCAGGCCCTCAAGCCCCCAAAACCCTAAAACCCGAATCTGGGTTCCTGGGAATGTTTTCTTGATTATGGGCCATAAGCCCTATATACTTGCCATGAAGCCACAGGGCCATCAAGCCACAGGGCCCCTACATCTCTCCCAGAAGTGGTGTGGATGCCTTGATCCCTGGTCCTAAACTTGAAGCGGCGAGTCCTAGAACCCAACGCACGTAGGGCTTAGGGATTAGGGTTTACCCCTCCTGTCCCCCTGTAGTTGAGGAGTCAGGGCAACTTAGTAAGCATACTTATAGCCTCATAATATCCCCAGTTATCCCCGTCATTAATTAACCTACTGACTACGTCCTCCTGTCCCGCCCCTATACTAGAATTCCCCACCGCTTACGCTAGTGGGTGAGTGGGGCACAGAACCGCCTGGATGATAACTCCATATCCTGAAGCAAGTGAGAAGGGGAACTGAATTAGCGCCTGCCTGAGAAACTTTGAGCTGAAGTAATTTCCTCTTCAGACAGGCAACGGAAGGTATCATCTTCACTCTCAACCTCCACGAGCGCAGCCACCTTTAGCACACTAAGACCTTGCAAGCAAGAGGCCAGGCATTATGAGCTATCAGCTTTAAATCAGATTCTCTAAGATTGAGTCCAGCCTTTGCATGCGGACATCTGTCAGAAACTACCACCCCACAGGTTCTGCCTCAATTGGTTTTAAACAAGCCTGTTACTGTCAGTCATTGGAAAATTTGTTCAGAACTAGTTGGGGAGCCCACGGCCTCCAGCTTGGGAAACGTGACCGCAGATCAGAAGCATGCTTAAGGGGGGTTTCTGCGGGCTGCGACAGCCCGTACATTACTTGCCTCTTACCTGCTGAAATGAGGTCTCTGACCATAGGCCTTGAACCTTACACTAAGAATTATATGCGCTACTGTCAATCTACCGGTTGCCAAGGGGCTACAATGGGTGGCCACGGGGGTCCCCTTTCGAGTATAGTCTCTAATGCACTCCTTACTAGGAACCCACGAATTAAATCGCATGGGGCATAATGACTGTAGCTCTCATACCCCCTATTTTGACATAAGCCCCATAAACATCCTAGACTACCTTTTTACCCTCTACATTGGATTACACCGAGGGATCTGGGGGATCCAGGCTGTATAGTGCGGAGTCGCTTCAGGATGGTGTAAGGCTCAACTACCTTGGGCAAGTCCGAAACTGCATTCCAGGTTCGCTTATGCTGTGCCACTGTACCCCCCTTTTCTTGCTGCCCTAAACCTGCAACTCTCAACCTTAATCCGAAAGCCTTAAACCTTTAATGCTAAAAGCTCCGAACTGCAAAGGGGTCTCGCATGGTGTCTCTGTTGTTTCCAGTCCCGGGATCCTGCAGACTCCCAGGCCACAATATCTTGCATCCTGGTAAAGGGCCTATGGGGGTTAGGGCTTAGGGTTTTGTAGTTAGACAGTATGCTATGGTTCTTCGGAAAGGTATCATGTGCTATAGCTGACGGGAGCACTACTGTAGAACCTAAGTTGCAACCCCATGCCTGCTGCAGACAACAGTGCCACCTGGCGGCGGACATTCGAGCGCCGGGACTTCAGAGTTCAGGTTTTTACGGTTCAAGGTCGGGACCTTCGAACTTCATGGGTCCCATTTGTTGAATAGGCTGGAGCAAGTCTTGCTGTTTTCTGTAATTTGTTGTTGTAGCTACAAGCGTAATGCAAACAAACCATCGGCTGCAAGTAGACGAGAGGTAGCAACAGTGATTAGTCTTTCCGGTAGTGGTGACATGAGTAGCAGGATGGAGCAGTAGCAGTAGAAGCAAGACCACGAGCAAGAGAAAGGAAAGGAGTGGGAGGAGCAGGTCGGGCGCGGGCACACAGGCGAACTTGGAGGGTCAGGGGGGTTCGTATGGCTCGTAGTTGTTACGGGTATACTCACTAAGTACTCCTGACCCTCCAGGAGTAGTGGCCTCTGAATTTACTCCTTTGGCTTTTTGGGTACCCAGGTCTGTGGCCAAGGATGCGACTCTACACCGCTGCCTGCACCAATTCCTAGCGAAGGCAGGCATGGGGGGGCGGTTTGTGAAAGCGTGGGTTTCGGGTTTAGGGTTTAGGGCCCCTGGGATGTATGGGAGATATAGGGCTCCCCTTCAAGGTTTGTATAGCGGCCTATGGGGGAGCGCATCAAGTCTGGCTTCTCATATGCGAGTTTCTCAAAACTACTTTGCAGAGTCCTTAGTAGGGACTACTATATAATCGCCTGGTGGTTCTGTAGCAGAGGAAAAAGGAATGCGTGACAAGGTGAATCGTGAGGGATCATATGAGATAGGGTCGTATTAGTGGAGAAAATACGGGTATTTGGTGAGTGCTTTGAGGATTCCTGAGGAATTTTGGTGAGTGTGTATATTGGGTGAAAATTCTACCATAAATACGGACTACTATGGAGATCCATTTCTCTATCACCTACTTACCACTCGTAAGCTGAGAAGCCCAAACCCCCATATCATGTGCCTCCAATAAAAGTTTTCATTCTTGTCTTGCCTCCCTCTGAATTCCCTGTCCTTTGCAGGGTTGATATTAAGCATCCTGTCTGGTCCGCAGAACTTTATACCTCAGCAACTATGATGTTCTAGTGTATCCAGGTTATGAAAGACCCTTAGTATTTACCCGTTTTAGCACCCCACGATCGATGTAAATGACAGGTCGTTTAATAGCGTGAATGGAGGTTTCTATTGTAGTTTACGGGTAGTAGCGTCCAGGTGTCACCCCAGCGCGAATCGCTGTGCTGACAGCCAGATCCTGAGCAGATATAGTGTTGCTGGGTAGGCCCCTGGGATATTTAGTATTTTCCCTAAGGGCTTTAATAAGGGACCCTATATATTAATATTTTAGGTGGACCCCCCACCCAGTAATAGTGACTGTTATGGATAATGAGGATTATATTAGGGTCCCCTCATATTCCTATTATACCACTATTACAGGGTGGGGGGTCCTCCTAACTAATATTTTTCAAAGGGTTTTAGGGGCCAACCCAGGTTGCTGAGGCTAACCATCCTGAGCACTGCAGCAGCGAACGGACTGAGACCGAAAACTGAAGAAGCTCTTTGGGTTTAGGGTTTAGGGTTTAGGGTAAACTGAAGAAGCTCTTTGACTTTTGGCACAAGATGTCTACACCAGATGCCATGCCCTGAACACGCATGTCTTCAAACTCGAGAGGGCGCATATCCAGGGACCCTACCTGCGAACTAAGTAAAATCGAACATATCTTTGCATGCCTGGTTGTTGCTATCAGGGATGCAGAGGTAATGCTTGCATGCGCATGCCCGAGCGAAGCTGTACTGCTCTTGCTGGTTTTTTGTCTTATGCTGGCGTTGTCTTGCACTTGTTTGTATCAATGAAGCTTTGCAAAGTGTCGCATTTGTATGTCTACGCAAGCTGCAAATCGGACTGGCTGAGGCTTGCTTTTCCAAGCTGTTGAAAGATTGCAGATCAGCTGGGCCCTGTTGCACGTAAGACCGTAAAATCCCAAGGCCTCAAATTCGGATACTTGATACTACGGTCCATGGAAACCAGGTCTGACATTATCAGAAGCTTACGCAAGCAAAGGACCTTGAATTTTTCTTCCTGCTGGCCCCTTCTCAAAGGACCATTGATTTTTCTTTGAGAACCTTTAAGCATTCAGACTGTGAACTCCCCACCTCATGCACCCCATGCTTCCCTAGAGGCAGCATATGTGAAACCTCTACTAGGTTGAAGGTGCAAGTGTAGAATCCCTTTTTTTCAAGCGCTGTACATTCTTTTGCGTTACATGAAGCAGCTTAACACATCCTTTCAAGCTGGGGATCAGGCACCTTGTTAGCATTACGAGGCTTCCGACCGAGCCACCAGTGGCGTTTACGAGGATAGGTCGTTGGCTGAGAGTTGTGGTGCAGCCAAGCCTGAGCGAGATTTCTTTCACAACATTTGACATCAATTACTTCTGATATGTCTCAAGTGTATTAGGTCTGTTTTCGGGCTCCCTGCCCTGTCTATGGAAACCTCCGTATGTTTTGACCCATGTACTTCCAGTTTCCATTTCATGGTCGATATTCTTTTCCATTTGAGTCTCCATCATCGGGGTGCTGCAATCCTTAAACGCTATATACCCCTATAATACAAACCTATACCGCTGTTTACCCTCTGTAGGATCTCATGTATACCCAGAAACTCCATTCAGCCAATTGCAAGCCGGCCATCAACCTTACACCCTTGGCCGATGGCCACACAGTCCTTCGGAGTCATTCTTCCATTTTTTGTGGTAGAACCCCAAGGAACCATTACACATGACATTTGTAAAACCAAGCCCACGGAGGATTATAGTATAGAGCAGTGCGCAAATACTCTTTTTGCCTGCACGACAATGCGAAAATGCCTGCAGTACAAGTGCAAAGAGGCTTTGCAGATGCTTGCAGGCATTTTTGTGAAGGCATGCGTGATGAGGCCGGTCTTCAGTTAACGAAGTCTCAACGGTCTTTATGAGGCAAATCTCTATGTAGTTGTGATGCAATGGCTATGGCACTTGTGAATGCATTCGCATAAAGTTCACAGTCGTCGTAAGCCATTGCAACTGCAGCCGGTGTATTTGAGATAGTCTTGTTTATGGCTGCCCCTAGTTGCAGTGTTCCTTTGAAGTGCCTGGTACAGTCATAGCATGCGCCATTCTGCCTCACCATTGGAGGTCAGGACCTGCCGTGGTAGAGGCAGCCGCGAACCTCAGCATCTCAGGGCTCTACACGGCGGCGGGCCGGGGAGTATAGAGGTATGAGGTTAGTCATTGGGTAGAATTCTGGTGATGCTCATGTTTGGTGCAGTGGTATGTAACCATTGCCAGGTATTACTGCTTACCAAGGGCATGTGGGAACAGGAGGTGTGCGGGTCGAAGAACTTGAGGCTTGGAGTTGAGGGTTGATTTCGTTGAGCTGTTGTTGCTGTTGCAATCCCTAGTGGCGCTATTGACCGGGTTCAGTCTAGTCATTGCGATGTTTTGCTCAGAAGCCATGTTCGTGATGTCTTGTGCCGGGACTCGCACTATTGTACAGAAGCTAGATGCATGATCATCAGTATGGTTATGGTTCCGAGGCTGCTACTAAATTACTATCATTGTTGTTATTGTTATTGTTACTACGACTTGCTACCATTGCTGCTGCTACGGCTGCTAGTGACATGATTAACTGTATCTATCCATTTAGGGTGTACTCTTGATGCAGGAAACTTCGCACAACCTTGGGTTTCCAAGGCATTACGATACCTAGGGTTCAAAGTTTTTTAGAGACGGCGCACGACTTTTTTCCATCAATGCCGCTGTGGATAGAGGAAATCTTGCACCACAAGGTATGTGCTAAGTCCCCAAAATCATGCCATTTGGGGGTCTGAGTTGGTACAAGATCATGCCGTTTAAGGGTCTGAAATGGTGCAAGGTTCCCCCATCCGCCCTTCAACCCTAAACCACAAGCCCTATACCCTAAACTTCTAAACGCTAATCCCTATACTTCTGAACCCGAAGCCCTAAACTTGAAAACCCTGCACCCTAGACCTTGATACCAAAATTCCTGCATGGGCCTAAGTACTTTATACCTTGGGAATTATGGTATTACATACTGAGGTCATTCAGGATGCTTAGTATCGATAGTAGTAGTCTTACTAGTTGTTAGTAGGGAATAAGGGAAGATAGTCCCTCTATAAATGCAAGCCCTGTATAATGTATTCCCTTTTCCCTACTCCGCCCCCAGTAAGATAACCCTAAACCCTAAATTCTAGCTTCCATTTTCATTCTATTATTTATCCCTATATACCTCCTACATAACCCCTACCCTAAACCCTAAACCCCTACATACCCCCATACAATAACTCCCAGTACGTGGTGTGAGGTGAAGCTTTTTGCGGAGCGCAGCGGCGTGCTGCAGCTAAGGCAGGGCCGGATGCTGGCTAACGCAGCGGCCTAAATCATCAGAATGGGATCTAGGGGATATATTAGGAGGAACCCCCACCCTGTAACAGTGGTATAATAGGAATATAATAGGACCCTAAAATAATCCTTATTATCCCTTATAGTCACTATTATTGGGTGGCTAGGGGATATAGAATCCCTTTGAAGGTCCCTTCAAAGGGATCAAGGTACCTTTAAAGGGGTCACAGGGATGAAAACTGGGGGATATGTGGTCTAGAGCCTTGAGGTCTGCACGTCTGCTAAGAGTGGAGAGACTGGGGTGAATAGAGGGGCTTTAGGGCTTTAGGGTTTAGGGTATGGCTTCTAAGGATAATTACCAAAATTGTGATCCTAGATTCCTGGTGTTTGTGGTTGGGGTCTGGCGCTTAGGTTGCAGGGATGAAAGTTTCAGGGACACATGCCCCCTTGTTGCTGTGAGCTTGGCTTAGGCATGCGGAGCCTCCGGAACTACTAGAACTATAGTCTAAACTCCAAGTAACTTGTCCTAGTATCCCCCTCAATAACCTCCATAATACTTTCCTATATAAGACATATACCCTTCTTTAAGGAGTGTAGACTATAGCTCATGATGATAGTTCGTACCACAGTCCCTGCAAAAAAAAGCGCGATCCAGCAAGCCATTGGATACAACCTTTCTCATTGGAGCAACGTTGTTGAAAACATAATTTGTTGCGAATGTAGCATGGGAAGTCTATGAGATAGTGGATTTAGCAGTTGACCCTCGTGATCTTGAACCCTGAGACTGAGGGCCTGACTTCTTCATGAGCCCTGTTCTGCTGCCTTCAGTGCAGTCTTCCGCCCTGGATTGGTAGGAGATACTAGGACACTTTTGCCGGCAACGTTAAATCTACAAGAGCAGTGGAGGGCCGTAAGTGGAACAAAAGCTCCGGCCTTTCTGTGGCCAGGAAACTCAGCAACTTGACCCGCAAACAGGCACACCGCAAATCCTGGGCTCCTACCTCCCCACATTCCCCACCCAACCCATAAACTTCGCACCCCAACACTAACTGCAAAATCCGCAGCTTTGTCGAGCAGAAGATTGTCCCAGATGATGAGGAGATGATATATCAGTGCAGTCCCCAGATCGGGAACTTGGTGGTCCTCGAAGTTACAATTGCAGCCTTTGTGTAAGTGGCTTCAAGGGGTTCCTCAGAGGCACAGGGGCGTCATGTCCTCATGGGTTATGGTTGGATTATGTTGAATCCATGGCGGGTTGGGTGGTGTGTGCTCAAGCCAGACAATGTCAAGATTTTGTCGGACATTGAGCAGTTTCTTGCATGCAGCATGTGATGGTTCACCCCAGTACCTGTCATTTCTAATTAAAGACAATATGCAAGACACTGTTTGGACATGGGGCTGGTGATCAAAGGCCGTGGTGTTGCGCAAAGCAGTTGGATTACGAAAAGTCTTGGCGGCTTGCGCCTGCTTAAACATTCCGCAAGAACCGAACCCAAAAGCTGTGTAACGGTGAAGACATGGAAAGCCGCACCTCCTCAAAAATGATGCGACATGCCTCAAGTGTGCATTTTGATAACTAGTGGGCCCCGCCATGGACCAAACGCTGGATGATCCTTAGTATAGGAACATCCGCAAAGGGCCTCTGAGTGTTGGAATGCCGCATATTCCAACCCCTATACCCACAGATGTTGAAGGTCAGCAATCCAAGCCTCAGGTGCTGACACCCAGACCCTGGGTCCCAAAAAAGTCCTTGGTTTCAAGTTTTGGAAGTGCTACACCTTAGCCCGTAGAGGACCTGTGACTTCTGCTGAGGATCATTACGAATAGGACGGGGCAGTCTGGTAAAACCGAGCTTTGCAAACGGCTTCTTGCTAAAGCCTAAACCCTGAACCTTAAGCCCTCAGCAAGTTGGCAGCTAATTCCAGCTCTGTCATGAAGTCCCGTGGATAGTTCCAAGGGAATGCCATCGGAATTTGCACCACACCTCCAATGTGAGTTTCTCAAAATAGTCCTTCACAACTCTTTAGGAAGGACGCCCCAGAATCCCCTGACATTCCCTACATACCTGGGGTCCTTAAAGGCTTCATTAGGCGCTGCGCCGGCTTTCACCTTCCTATTTTAAGAAAGTTTGGGGTTAGTAGGGGATGGGAATATTATATAGGGATTATATTCCCCTTTTCCCTACTAAACCCTAAACCTTAAACTCTAAGCCCTTAACCCCGGTAAGCTATCCTATTTACAGAGACCCTTCAAACGATTTGCAGGATGCTTGGCTCCGAGAAGTCGTCCGAGGGCAATGCTAAGCTCGGTAGGGTTTGGGGTTCAGGGCACTACTACCGCTGGTACTAAACTTCCATGCATGACGTTAATGGACTGTAGTAGCACAGTGTTTCTAAGGCTTAGGTTAGTGATGATCATGCGGGATTTGCAGTATGAATCGCAGTGGTAGGTTTACACTATGTCTTGAGGGCTGGGGTCAGGACTTGTAAAGTTGTTCGCGTGGCTAGGGTTTAGGGTTTGGGGTTGGGTTGAGATCTTTGGCAGAGAGCTTTCGATGGAAGTAGGAATTTGGAAGATTAGGGTAATGGGAAAAGCGGAATAAGTACGAATAGTCTCCCCTAAACCCTAAATCCCCTAAACCCTAGATTTCGACGCTCGATTGAAAGATCTAAAAGCCTTCGGACCTCGTGTAGCTCAAGCTGCTTTGCCTGGCCCCCTGGCCTCATGGCATCCCGACCGTGGCGAAAGCGTCCGCCGGGGCCGCAGGTGATTATAGTCCCCCGTAAGTAGGGTATATACTAGGGTTAATATGGGTTTAGGGTTTAGGGTTATGTTGGGAGTTTGAGGACATAGTCCCCCTGAAGTAGGGTATATATTGGGGTGTATATGGGGTAAGTTATTGGGGTTATATTGGGATAATGGAAAAGAAAATGGAAACTACTATTTAGGGTTTAGGGTTTATAGTCCCCCTTAAGTAGATAGAATACGGGTTATACCGGGATCTTATTATGATATATTTAAAGCCATATTCTGTCTACTTAAGGGGGACTCTAGGTTTTGGCTTGGACCATGGGCTTGAGCGGCATAAAGGTTCCGAGTTTCGTGTTATGTTGGGAGTTCGAGGATTTAGGGTTCTATTTCAAATTATTGGGATTATATTGGGTCAATGGAAAAGGAAATGGAAACTACTATTAAGTTACGGAGGACATCTTGATGATGATTTTTCTCAACCTTTCCTGTGGCCCTGATGCTGAGATGTAGCTTATGCCTTGCGAAGGGGGCCCTAAAGCTGAACGATAACTGGGGGAGCTTGGTAAGCCAACTCCCAAGACTCAAGATCCTGTTAAAGTCACATGATAATTGTAGTCCGAATATGTCCGAATCTTGGGGGTTGGGGCTACCAGAATCCTTTGACAAGACAAAGAGTGTTCTTGATGCCGGGGGCACTGGCATGGGCCGCGGTTTAGTGTTTCGTGTGTTTGGTGTTTCGGGGCTATCTATGAGTATAGTATAACCATTATGTAACTGTTGCTGGGTGGAGGAGGCAGTTCCCAACACATCTGCAGCTTCGGCTACTTTACATTTTATGGCTTCGAGCTCGCATGCCAGCTGAGCGAGGTCCTATGCATTTTCCAGTTTGGGCTGCTGCTCAGGAATTTCAAGCTACCATTATATAGATGCATTTATGTATGTGTATATATGTATATAGATAGATTTCTCTAATTATGGTGAAGAACCGTGGTTCTTCTAGCAGTAGTTTAAATTGAGTTCCCCAGCAGCCCAGAAAGCGCTGCAATCCTTATTAGCGGCGCCCAGGCAGAGGTTTAAACATTCCTTGCAGAACTCCCACTGGCGCCGAAGCACAAGCCTAATCAGTTGGATGTTACCCCGACCCTGTCACAGCTATAGGTTGGATACTGCCCCCCCTCAGTAATAGTTGGATAATACTTATACTATAGTTATACATATAGCCCTGAGTAGGACCCCTTATATAGACGGTGGGGGCAGTACCCAAGTTATAGGGCTTTACTTAAGGATTTCTAGGGATTAGGGTTTAGGGTTCATGGGATTTCGTAAGCACTCCTAGGGGGTACGGAAAAGTAGGGGTAGATTATCATTACAATTTCAGCATGGGGGACCCTAATAGGCCCCTGAAAAGCCCTAAACACTAAACCCTTCGAAAAAGCCCTCAACCCTAAACTTTGGAAGATCTAATCCCCTTAAGTAGATATAAGATGGAACTCCCCAAAAGCATAATAGATCCATGTATACCCAATATTCTTTCTACTAAAGGGTGACCATTAACCCACCATCAACAACTCTAAAGACTCTAAAGCCTACACATAGAAAGATGATCGCGCGGTGCTTGAGACCAGTTTGTCACGGCCATCCAGCATGATTGGAGAGAAGCTGCTGCTAAGTTTAGGGTTTAGGGGTTTATAAGACAGAAGGACGAGGGAGACGACAAAACGGATTGAGCAAGCTGAAGAAGAAGCCCAGCGATACGGATTTGTGTAGGGATATTGCATGAGATTACTCCAATAATGGAAAATGGAACATGAAAAGGAAGCTGGGTTTACATAGTGGGTTAATTACAGGGATTAGGTGATTAGGGTGACGGCATGACTGGTGCCTTCAAGTGAAGGTATGAGTCGGCCGACGGCTTTTAGTTACAGGTGGATCAAGCAACGCGGAGTGACTTGAGGATGATCGTTATGGTGCTGCAGCTCTGGAAGCTTATACTGAAGATTCTTGCGCGGCCCCATTGTCGTGAGAGCGACGGGTTGAGATGAAAGACCATCAGGTTCGATGGGTCGAGCTCGAACATCAATGGTCTGTTGGTGATGGTGTGGAGGGGGTCCCACAAGGCCAAGGCGGCGGGTAATTCTTGGTAAGGTCGCAAAGCACTTCGGTGATTGAGGAGTACCCTCCTTCATCTTCCTGCGTCTTTGTTGGGGACCCTGTAGGGAACACATGGTGATACGCATTTGAAGGGTGTGAATGGGAGCCGTCTGAACAAAGAACACTCATAACTCCTGAGAAATGCAGCGTTGGAGGAAGGACTTCCCTAGCCAAGGCCTGCACCAGAGAAGAAGCTCACTGTAGGGAAAAAACCAAGCCATAACCTCTTAACCTATAGTCCCCCTTAAGTAGATAGAATATGGGGTATATGGGAATCTCATTGTAATATGCCCAAAGCCATATTCTATCTACTTAAGGGGGACTATAAACTCTGAAGCCTTGAAGCCATAACCCTGAAACCCTTGACCCTGAGCCTACAAGGTCTGAGCTGCTGTCATTGTGGCAAGCGGGTTTCGCCTGGCGTCGATACCAGCAGCAGCAGGACACATCCAAATTTGAAAGTTCCTTCCCAAGAATATTGTCGAGAGTGTTAACGGGCAATATGAACAGGCTTGTATGGGCTGATCTGGGATGTAGTCCTTTACTCCTCCCAGGGGTTGAGGGGGCTTTTCCTTGATTTAAGGCCCCTGGTTTCAGATGCCAGGGCTTGTGCAACGTCTGTACTCTAAACCCTAAGCCCTAAACTCTAAGCCCTAAACCCTAAACCCTAAGCCCTAAACTCTAAGCCCCAGGTGAACCCTGGGTGTAGCGCATTCCATTCGGGTCTCAGGTTCCCGTTGCTAAGGTTCAGGGCCCAGGCTCCAAGCGTTTAGGGTTTAGGGTTTAGGGTGATGCCGGAGTCAGTGTCTTGCTTCGGCGTTCGGATTTGGCATGTGTGAATGTGTCGGCGTTGGCAGGGGGCCTCTGCAATGTTAGGGGCTGCGTCAGGGACCCGTACTGAGGACGAAATTCTTAACCCCAAACCCGAAAGAAATTATCTAGGAATCTCAGGGCCATAAGGGTCATGTATGAACATGGGTCTAGGCGTTCCTGCTAGTTACTAATCCGTACTAATGTGAAAACCACCCACCGCTAATAGTAAGTAACCCCATGCATGCCCCAGGATATTAGAAAACGTCGTAAAGGCAACATGTGATACCGGGGCCCGTTGATGTAGCAGTAATACCTTACTCTAAACTCTGAAAGTAAAGCCGCCCCTCTGCCCCCTCCTTTTTCAATAGTTCCCCTAGGAACCCAATACTATTTTAGG